TAATACCATGTTACAAGGAACTACCCAACTAGACTGCAGCCACAGGTTGTATCCATCACAACAATTTGATCAGGTAACTCAGTACTCTACATACTATAAAAATACTATTTAGTTTACAAGGCTAGGTCACCTGTTTCCTTTGGAAAGCAGATGGCTGAAAAACTTTAGCATCAGAGTGGGTGCAAGGGTCAAAATATCATGTGCTATGACATCACTATATGGCTCTAACAGGTTTTTTAATACCTTTAGTTTAAATTCTCTTCTCTGCAATGATATTAGTGAAGTTCATGTAAATTAAAAGGCGCAATGCTCGAATAGGGAAACACATGAAGGATGCAGACCTTCAGAACCATATAAAATCTTATATCTAGGCCAGGCCAGGCCAAACACATAATATGAGCTTGATAATCTTATTTTCACCTGTTTTGGGTTTTTTGTGCCCTGCAGATATATTGCAACACACACCGACATTAGCCAACTATATGAAACAATCTCTAAACCGAGACGGGAACTTAGTTTGCATTATCTTCTGTGGATCTGCAAGGATTTTATGCAAATATCTTCTCGAAAACTATCATTTCTTCTCTCTTTTTTAAAAAACAGCTAACTAGAAATATAAAACTAACAGTTACACGAAAGAGGCTGAAATGGCAAACAGCAATTCTTAAATTGTGTGCAGGTTGTGCGCTGGCTGCTGATCTGTCAAGTAAATCCATGACAAACAGCATTAACGTTACCAAGCAGTTAGCCAGACTGGTTCATTTCAGCAGGCCTACGCGGTTCACTGTCAGGCTAAGCACGGCGGCATAGTTTTGCGACGTCGACACTTGCTGTTCCGCTTAACTACAGTGACCAGCCGATATACTTTGTTATCAGCGTCTGTTTGACAAATGCAGAAAAAGGGGCTGTGGCAGGCCAGTGCTTGGGTTAGCCACCAGCTAACGGCTAACTAGCTCATCACTCAGGTTTTATGGACGAACTAGCTAGTCGCATTAGCGACAGGGTTCAATCAAGCAAACATTGGAGAAGCAGACAGTGGCAGGCGCTAACGGCCGCGTTTACCTGTAAAATCGCTAACGGGTGTTATTCGTAGCCGTCCCTCAGCCCCCCACCCTCCTCTGACTGTGCCCGGTGCGTCTCAGTTTTCCCAGTGTGATGCTGAAGGTGCTCAGTTACGCCGTATTCCCCCCAACTGGACTCAGGACGCTGCCATATTCCTCATACCAAAAGTGTGCTACTGCGCAAGCGTGAGGCCTGCCTGTCATGCGGCTGTCAGCTGATTGGTTTGTCAGGAACCAACATTGTGAAGATACCTGATACCAGATCGGTTATTACGTCGAATCATTCCATTTTTCAATTGGTACATACCTTCGAAACTGACCTCGGAACAGTTCAGCGATGCCATATACTGCGGAAGGGGTTTATTACTGGAAATCTCTAGTTTCTTTTAGAGAAGAAATGACCGAATATGCGACCACAGACATAATACTTACATTTCCCTTTTCACCAAATAGTCGAGCACATACAGATTACACACGTAAAGAAGTGAAGGTACTATTAAAAATTCAAGTAAAGAGGTATAAATAAGAATAAGTAGTTTGCAAAATTATGCACGATCAGGGAATGAAAACGGAGTACAGCTCCTCTACTTGCAAGTAGCCTGTTGTATAATTATTACTCCAAATAACCTTCATGACTAAAAGTGTCTGCTTATTTTTCATCAAAGTTATGTATGACGAAAATAGAGGGATAGACGAAGGGATGCTTGGTAAACTGGACAGCAGATTAAACCTCGCTGATTCCTTTATATTTTACTATTTACCTCTTAATCTTACAAAAAAAAATTGCAGAAAGAGAGGGGAAATAGCTGGAAAGAACATATTTCTGAACAGTAGCCTGTTCAATAAAACGCAACTCCTGGGATAAATACAACTATTCTGCCCCCTAGGGACACTTTCCCATCAATGCAGCAATTCCTTTTGCTCAGGCATAGTATTCATACAGCCAGTTTCCCGCACATGGGTTAAGCCTGTTCCTAAAGTAGAAGAAACATTAAATGAGGATCTCCACTTAAAAACACTAGACCGAATCGGTGTCTGACAGAGAAGTTCCAGAGCATAATAAAGGACACAGATATGTCAGGCACACTCAAACAACTTTAAATAAACACGTAGAAAACAGTATTTTTCATCCTTCCCCAGTAATCCTAACATGAATCTACACACTGCTTACTGCACTGTGTTATTTTTACATCATTTTATGTATTTTATTGCTCATTATATTTCATTACTTTTTTTGAATTCATATTCATTTTTTCCTCTTTCCATTCACTTTCCATGCATTTGGTCTTGAAATGACTCACATTCGTATAATATTACATTTCTTTTTGACACATTGTTCATATTTCAGCTGCCCATCAAAGTAAACTACCTGAATACAATGTTAACTGTGAACAGCCTACAAAGAAACAACTGAGATGTATAACAGGACCATCATAAAGGCCTCTAAGAAAAAGTAACAATTTGTTACTCTTTAAAAAGTTACTCTCGCGTGTAACTTTACTGTTTTTCAACCCGTCTGAATTTTTAAGTGACTCACCGTGACTGCAGGTAAAGAGGAAACATCTTTGCCTTGTTACTGACTGTTACTGACAGATGTTGCAAACTAAACTTGAGCAGAGCAGCAGTCACGTTATAAGCCATCTGATTAGGTGACTAACCATGCGCTGCCCGTTAGTCTAATTTAATTAGAGCTAGAGAGACATGAGGGGGAGAAAAAAAACATTTCCGTCTTTTTCCATGGAGTCAAATGGAGGGTGAAGTTCTTGAGGATGAGAAGACAGTGCCAATCAGTGAAGCTTTTATTTGGCTCAGATGATGTCCACTGCATTTGACTGATGGAGAAACAGACCAGACGATCAACAGAATCTGAAAGACTACAAAAATACTAACTGTCTAGTAAATGCAAAATTAAAAGCATTGCAATCTGTTGCTGAAAATATTAAATTCGGATATTTAGAACTTTATAGTCTTTACAAAATGTATAGCTGAGAGTTTGGCTTTGTTGTTACAACCCTCTGGGTTAGACTGGACAGGGTTTCTGTGTTTGTGGTTTGTGCTCCTGTCATACTTTTTTTTCTAGCCAGATGGTGCCACCTACTGCTGTATACTGTGCAATGAATGAGCTCAGGCAGGTACTTGCTGCATAATAAATACTTTGGTAGTGAGACTTGATATTATGTGTGATTTGGATATAAAGGCAGGAGGCCAAACTGGAGGTGACAGAATTGAAGATGTCAAGATTTTCACTGGGCAAAATGAGTACATCACAGGGACAGCTCAGGCTGAGTGCTTTGGAGACAAAGTTAGAGAAGAAAGGCTCAGATGGTTAGGGCATGTGCAGAGGAGGGGTTGTGGATATACTAGGGAAAGGGTGTTGAAGATGGAGCTGCCGGGAAGTCCACATAGAGGATTAATGGATGTGTGCTAGGAATAAGTGGAGATGGAGGCAGGTAATGCGGTGTGGTGATCCCTAAAGGAAAAAAACCCAGAAGAAGACAATTTAGGCTTTTTGCAATCACAAGACAAGAGATGGAAAAATAAAGTTGAGACGAAATGAGAGGAAAAAACAAATTGCATGTAATGATCGAAATGATTAATTAGTATTTCAAACTCTTACTTGCTTTCCTGGCTAATTTTCTATTAGTAAAACATTTTCAGTTCTCAGTGCAACACCTCCAAAGATTTTTACACTACATATGTAGTGTTTGGCTCATAAAAGTGTGAAGGTGCTGTGTCTCTTCACACTGTCCTCTTCTTACATGGTCTGCTTTTATTCTGTGTGTGTGTGTGTGTGTGTG